GAAGAGGTTCCACGTGTGGCTCCGTTACACGCTGTGGAAAATGCCTTAATGAACCTGCTGAGACACGCAGGTGTATTGTTGGCCACCCAGGTAGATGTTGATCACGCAGCAAAGACAAAGCAGTGAAAATTACTGAGGGTATAAAAAGAAAGCTGCGCAAAATAGAAAATCAGTGGTTTGTTAAAGTTTGAGGCGCACGCGCACTCAACAGGTGGAAATACTTATTTAAAAAAACAACCTTAATATGTATAATTTTTGTAAACAAACACAAGTGGATGCATTTAATCAAAATCGCTTACAACTACCGACTGTTTCTGTTTTCTCAACAAGCCAAAAAGCTTTTCTGAACGACACTGCGCATGCGTAATTGCTGTCTTTCTATTCTTTCACACGAGGATCCTGTTAGACCTCATCACCTGTCTGATTCCTAAGCGGCACTCCACATTCAAAGTCTCCTGAACTGCACTTCCTGTTTGGGTGCAGAATGATGAAGGCTGCCTCATTTCCTGATGTGACAGCTTTCTGTCAGTGAACCAACCAGAGGGAGTGCCTGGTTGGCCTAACAGCCTTCTGGAGCACGCGATGAATGACGGGAAGGTTCATGTGATTACTGCTAGTAGTTCAGAGTCTCGTTTGATTCATGCAACTCTTCGCCTTCACTGACTGAGTAATGAATCTGTGGTGGCACCCAGGTCTGACCTCAGCTGGTCGCAGAAAGGCTGGTGTCCCGGTTTGTGTATAATTAGACTATCAATCACAGTATTGACCTGACTGTAAGAACGTGATTCTTTGTGTTATCATTGCATTTAAATATGAGCAATGGCTTATGCCGATCGCAAGGGCCACGTCTCATTACCGGTAATATTCATATGTTGTGGAAAACTGAGACACTGTGTGGATTTTAAAGGGTCACTTACGCAGCGCATCTGTGTTTGTTAGCAGGAGTATACTCAGGATGTGTGGGGTTATTTTTAATGAACATTTTACCAGATGTGGTGCTCAGCCAAACTTAGAAGTTATGTGTTGAGTTCCATGACTGTGCAAAGGTCTTGGGCCACCCCTCATTTCTTTATATTTTGCTTCCAAGAGGCCAGAGTGTCTTGTAATATTTTGAAGTGATCTTATAACAGCTCTCCAGGCTTTCTTTCAATGTTTATCTTCAGACATTTCAGTCCAGTCCTTGTACTTGACAACTTTCAGAGAAATGTTTTTGTTTTTACTTGTTTTTTTTAGTTGTTTAACGCTGACTTATTAATCATCCACACATTAAACAAGGATGTATCTGATCCATTTAAAGTTCATTGAACCCTCATCAGAAATAGTCTCAGTGGAAAGGTGGCTGCCAAGAAGTCATTCTTTAGGAAGGGAAACGGGAAGAAAAGGCTGAAGTATGCCAAATTACACAAGAACTGGACTAAAAATCAGTGACAACAGGATTTATGGAGTGATGGATCCAAATTTGAAATTTATGGCTCAAATCAGTATCAATATGTATGCAGGAGGTCAGGAGAGGTACAACAGTGAGTGTCTGCAGGCATCTGTAAAACACAACGGCGGCTCCACCATGGTCTGGAGCTGCGTTTCAGCCAGTGGTGTGGGAGATCCTGTCAAAACTGATGGAATTATGAACACGTGGGAACGGTCAAATTTTGATCCACCACGAACACCATCTGGAAAGCGTCTCACTGACGAGAGCTTCATTTTTAAGCATGATAATGATCCCAAACACACCATCAAAGCAGTAAAAGTATACCTGGATAGAAAATAAACAAACAATGAAACATGGTCAGTTATAAATTGGCCTCCCCAGAGCCCAGACCTCGACTGAATCACTCTGGGATCATCTTGACAGAAATCAGAACAAAAAGGCAGCCAACATCCAATAACAGCTTTGAATGTCTTTCAAGAAGCCTGGAGAACTATTCCTGAAGTCCCTGCCCCATTTCCCACTTTCCTAGCAAAACATAAAGAAATGAGAGTTGACTCAATACTTTTGCACAGTATTGTAGCTCCAGATTTGGATCTAAGACGCAG